TCAAACACATCGAAGAAAAGGGATTTAAATCACCATTCTTTACCCAAAAAGGAGGGGTACACAAACATAATCGTCTTGTGTCAGTATTTTCAAGGGAAACTGGCCTTAATGACAATGATAAAAAAGAGTAAAAAAAGATAAAAACGCGAAACAATTAAGTACTGTCATAAATTCTAAATTTTCATTCAATTTTACGAGAGAATTCCCTTTGGACGTTCATCACAAAGGCATTCCAATGAGGTTTATTTACACACGCATACTCTACTTGATAATGTTCTTTGCAGTAAAAATAAACCAATGTTTAAAGCAAAGTAACACTTTAATGATGTCACAAGAAAAGAATGATGGTCCAAATGTTTCAATTTCAGTTTTGCAAATTATTCATTTCTATCTGTTTGATTGGCATTTTAGAATTTGGTGAGTAATAAGAAAGTAAGATACTTTATGGATAACAACTTCTTTATAATATATGATGCGACGTTTCGGTATGGATTCTTATACCGTAGTCAAGCAAGAGTGACTCTTGCTTGACAAATTAGAAGTAACTTGTATTTCAATTCACGTGACATTATGAACAGAAACAAATATTTGAAGTAGTAATGATGGTACTATGGTCGGATAACCTTTGCCCTTCATTTGCATGTCATAGCAGACTATCCCACCTCAGTGGAATGACACTCAGAAGTATCTACCTATCCACATAAAGAAACTGTGCACGCAGAAAATTCCTTCAGAATTGGAATACAACACAGAAAAGACGAAATGATGTAGACACTTTATAAGCTGAAGTATCGGGCCACAACAACATGTCAAAAGAACATGAACAATATCCGTAACGGTGACGTCAGAAGTTCAAAATTGAGTAGGGGGTCACACGACGAAGTCACAAAGTCAATAACGGGTATGACCATCATGCGCGTGAAGCACAGCGGTGCATCGACGACGCATATAGGCTACCAAATGAGCATTGAAGGCCTGGGGAATGGTTTGGGACGTGGTCACTGCCGTCTGGAACCTGTGTCTGAGATTATCACCCGAATCCATCTGTCCTTTCTTGGCGTCGTTACTCGGGGACGCCCAAAACGTGGGTGGTCGGCGACGTCATTACTGTTTCCATAACGCCTGACCAATGCAGATATCGCGTTACGATGGCATTGGAAATGTGCTGCCACCTGTTGTTGGCTCATGCCTGCTCGAACCATTCCAGTGCAGTAACACATTGCAAGGCCATAGGCCACCATCAATAACGTCCAGTCGCCTGGCACCTACATGACCGTTTGATTGTCTCCAATACTTGCTATGTTCACACCTTTATTTATGTATAAAGACACTGTCTGTCTATCTTTATATTTTCTGTGTGCACAGTTTCTTTATGTGGCCAGTATAGATAAGCCCCTTACTTGTAAACCCACATGTTCAATACTCCAACCAACACACGGAGCAGTAGTACCTCACGACCTGGACATTGTACCTAGTTTAGTCGTGTACAACTTGTTTAGGAGTCATTCGAAGATGGCAGTAGATGTCCACATTGCCAATGTTACGACTAGGACAGTAACCATACCCACAGGTGATGAGCAACCTGTCAGTGAGGGAGTGAGTTTAGTTTTACGCCACACTCAGCAATATTCCAGCTATATCGCGCCAGTCTGTGAATAATCGAGTCTGGACGAGACAATCTAGTGATCAACAGCATGAGCATTCATCTGCGCAATTGGCAACCGATGACATGTGTCAACCAAGCCAGCGAGCCTGACCGCCCGATCCTGTTACTCGCCTCTTACGACAAGCATGGGTTACTGAAGGTTCATTCTAACCCGGACCTTCACAGGTCAGCAACCTGTCAGTATTGAGGATACAGATACATTGTATTACAAGGGGGTAAGTGCAGTAGTTGGAACAGTGAAACAAATGCACGTGTGGTACGTGATGAGCGTTAAATTAGACTAACCCTACTTGTTCTCGGTGTTTCATTTAATGTGCATACCCCTTTGCAATACAAATCAATAATAGCGATTTGAAACTATGATCGTTTGTTAAACAACTTTTATCCTAGGTTGAATACAATTCTGAGATTTAAATGTTCAATTGGCAAGGTAAATGTATGATTCGCAATATTAATTTCACTTTATTCGAGTTGGTTTTTTTGTTTAAAGTGAAATTCATCGGTACGTGTTCACTGCAAACAGACTATAGTTGCGGGTACAGCAACGTGCAGTAAACTTGGACAAGTAGTGTGACTGTGTTTCCCAGTCCACCCAGCTGTGATTGGGTACCTCGTATGGATGCGAAAGTCACATTAACTTGGTGCGCCTAGTGGCTGCAAGAGTTGTATACTCCCCAGGGAGTTGAGATTGATAATACGATGTGCTGTTGAGTTTGACGATTGATCAAGGGGAAAAACCAGCGCCTCAAGCATGTACTAGTGCACTATATAAATATCCTATAATAAAATACTGCATTCGTTTTCACATCTGATATATTTCGCTGGATTTTACGGAGACACAAAGACCATTTGTTATTTCAAGGTTTTGAAAGGCATTTAGAATTTGGACGAACATGAATACATGACACGTTTTATGGATAACAGCTTCTTCTATATTCTTTACATGACGTTTCAGAGATAATTCTTGCTCCTTCATCAGGTGATTGCTGAGTCAGTATAAAGAGTGAATATATATAGATTAAATCATGTTTACACAATGCAAGTTGGGAGAATGTACAACAATATAATACGAAGCCAGTTAGATTGGATTAATGTACAAAGATAACAATATAATTGCTATGACAAAGCCAAGAGTGGGGTGGGGTGTGTTGATGTCCCCATCATTTCATTATATTCTTATCTATTTTCATAGAACTCTGCTTTTAGAAGTGAACTTCAAGCGTAATAATAAGAAATTAATAAATCATAATTTGATATTGACCAAGTACATTTTGAAATAAGGACTGCTCCTTTACTGACAGTCTCACCAAACAAAAATAAACATCTCTTTTTTGTTTCCTACATAACTGTTCTTTAATAACTTGATTTACATTGAGTTGATGAAATGAAGCAATCATATACTTACAAAATGCACAAAACCTACATCTGCTTAAATTCGTCTGCTAGCTGCCACTGTGAGAGAGGGAGTGTTCATTATAAAAGAATAAATTAATTTAAAAAATATATATTTTGGGGTTTTCTTTCAATAAAATATTTCATGAAATAGAGTAACACACTTTGATAAAGTTAATAGCCTCACACTTTAAATATTCAACTCTCCCATTATGACCTTCTGACCTTTTAGCAACCTTTTCCACAACCATTTTGTACAGTGCTCAAAAGTACTATTTGCACCATATTTCAACTTGGAACCAAACTTTTTATTTAACTAGCATGTCTAATGAATACAAAAAACACAATGTCTTGCTTTCATCCCAAAACTTCCAAAGGACTTGAATGCTGTACCCATCCTACCAGACTAGTAGGTGAGATCACAGAGAGCGACTTCGAGATCCCCCGTGTTATCGATCACGTGCAGCAGTAAAACGGGCTCACCGTTCGTGATTCCCGAGAGCTTGACGTACATGTTACACATATACGACACACTGCGGTATACTTTCAACATGGGTGATGCGCTAACGAATATGGAAATTGTGGTGGACGCGGACGGAATGAGTTTTAAAATGAATTTTATCGATATTTTCAAAAAATATTTCGTGACCGTCAGTAATGCTAAGATGGTGGTGAATTGGAATCAAAACCCGATTCAGTTTTGGCAAAACTAACTCAATTTAGCCGTGTGGTGCGCGACGACGGGGTCGTGTATGACACTCGACTATGGAACGGACAAACTGAGGGAGGCGGTCACCTTGTTTCACGTTTATTATCAGACGAGACGGAATTTGAAGGAAATAGGTGCGCCTCTCCCGCAAGATACAGCATGGACCATGCTCGATAACCCGTACGATCGACGTGTGTACGAACGTATTTGCAGGGAATTTATGATTCCAACCAATAAATACTTTCACCTTCCCGGTGTGAACCACGGTTTAGGTAAAGTCGACACTTATTTCTATAAATCCAAAACGTTTAGACTCGCTTATACAGACGGTGAGTACATACCCGGGTACCATACGTTTACAGGCCCCAAGATGAACGAGCAAATTCACGTTTCGTACATCAAACAAACCAATCCCGATGATAAACAACAACAAAAAAAACAAACTAATGATATCGAAAAAGGTGAAAGGGTTTACTCGCACGGGTACCATATGATTCGATTCGAACATACGTGTGGACCGTGCTGGGCTCACAGGCGCAGATGCGTTCCGGTATTATTGGTAAGGGAACCGCTTAAGACACGCAGAAACAGTTCGTGGTGAACGTCGAGGACGCCATCGCCAAAGCGGTGGATTTACCAACGGCCATCAAGCGTTACCAGGACACGTTGGAATGCACCCGGTCGAAAGTCGACTACGCATTCGATCAGAAACTGGGCATCAATCCCGATGTCAACGCGAGTCGAGTCCCACCACCCATGCATACCGGCGAAACGGGCATAGTAAAACCACCCCCCGGAGCCGCCCTGCGTTTGACGCGCACCACCACGCCCCACATCGGCGGTCGAACATCAGCACCACCTTGATCGTAAAAATATATCTCATGCCAAGAAAAAATTACGTACCCATTTTTTAAAGATAGATAATCAAGTTTATTAAAATATAGCTACATGTATTACAATGTATGTGATAACTTTTTGAAAACCAAAGTGTTCTGTATAGTTATACACCTCAGAACAGGATTACGTTAACCAATATGACCGAAAGTACCCATGTAGATAATAAACACTTCTTAGGTGAGGATATGAAAATAGACACCCCGAGTCATAACAACAGCAGCAGGGATCCCGTTTGTGACAAAGCAAGATATATGCTGGTCTCTTTCTTTAATGTGTGTATCTGCACCACTATAAAACACTTCATAATTTTCATATGTCAAGGGGAGTAGAATTTGAGGATTTTGCTGGATAGCTCCAGCAACTGCTTCTCCAACTCCCTGCACGAGTCTACGTAACCACTCATACACATTGAAGATTTTTGTGCGTATTTCTTCTCTCAGAGCCGCCGTCCAAATGTCACCATCTTTAAAACGTAAGAGGTAGCGATTGCCTTGATCTCCAGACACGAACTTTACCTCAACTGACGAGCACATGACTTCGATGGAGCAATTTTGCCAAACGAAATCTGGCTTCGATTCAAAAAGATCGTAGCAGCCCTGAAGTATCCGTCTATCCTCCCCTTGGATGTCATGCGTCCTGATGAAGTTCGACACATCCGAGTGTCCAACATGCTGTCCACAGTCAATCCTCTGAAGCAAAAATGTTAAGACAACAACAATGTTAAGAAAACATACCCTAGACTATGATACTTTCACAAATTTCGTTGAGTCGATTGTACAACTCGGGATTCATGACCATGTGTTTCAAATAGTGATGATGTTAAGAATTGGAAAGTTGAATGCGATCTCACAGGTCTCATTGTTTGTATTTCAGGTCGGAATCAAATATCAATTTGAGGGAACGGAGTATTACACACACACACACACACACACACACACACACACACACACACACACACACACACACACACACACACACACACACACATACACACACACACACACACACACACACACACACACACGTCTGAAGATCCTTGGTACACATATTTTTTCGATTCTTATGAATGTGTGTGTGTGTGTGTGTGTATGTGTATAGGTGAGTTTTGATCATTTCAAAGCTAAATGATCGGCTATGTTTCATGAATAGAACATTGAACATAATTCAGCATATTTAATATGATTATCCGCCTTGTCATCTGTAACTAAACATCGAAATATAACTCTCACCTCTCCATGAAAATTCCCCGAATTCCCCTGAAACAATAAATAGACGGGTTAGAGCATGTAGAATCATAGAAAGATATCGGTTGATGTACTGTCACAGGCAAAGAATAAACTAAAATTGATTCAGGAAAATAAAATAGTGATGGCACTTGGGTTGTAGAAATGTGCAAACATAAAACCATAAAACGTTGAAAATACCAGTTTTTATTTGCTGTCTTTCACATTGATCCTACCACGAGGGTAGGGTAGTTGATAATACGTGTGCTGTCTGGTATCGTTCGACAGCTCTGGAACATCAACAATATCACTGTACCCTTGCCGAGAGTATTTTCACAGTTGTAAAAAGCGATTTTATTGGATAAAGATTGGTTTCTAATGACGCTTTTTCGCCACTGTCTTCTATAAGGATCGTGATTGGTCAAAATCAGACACGTGACCTAAGGCAGCCAATCATACTACGGCAATGGATACCGTCCTCGTCAACGAAAACTTTCGTTTTTTCATAACGTTGTGACCGATTATTCGGCCTGTGGTGTTGAATGGGTTAAACACGATATGTTTGTTTTGTTAATTAATTAATGACCATCAAACAATGTTGATTCACCGCCAACAAGATTGATATATACTGTACCACTAAGTGGCTGAGCTGACACTGAGTGAGTTCGCTAATCACGTCGTTAATTGGGTCTTGGGGGGTAGTAAATCAGTTCGTTATAGCCGTTAATTTGCTACTCACGAGTTTGTTATTCACGTATAATTTTAATGATATTATAAAGGACGGTCTACTCCCAGTTGCGAGAACTCCCAGTTGCGAGACTCCCAGTTGTGAGACAGTGGAGAAGGTAAGGAGCAAAGAAAACACACCTTACTCCCCTATCTGATAGAATGGATTAACCCCAGCTAATTAGGGATTAGCTATTTAACTGAATCTTGTGGAGGTAGCTTAAAAGAAAAAGTAATTAACCTACTCAGGTAAATGGCTTTAAAAAATAAACACTTTGTGTAGGTAACTTCGTGATCATTTGAAAGAGAAATTAATTGACCTACTCAGATTTACGTGCTTGAAAAATCTAGCAATAACTGTTGTAACTATAATTAATCCAATTTATTAACCTGTGACCTGTGACCTGCTCTTTCCGATCACCTGTATTACAAGAACAAGCAGCGGCAGACTTGTACCTACACAGACATTCAACGACTACATCACTACAACCTGGGTGGACGACGACGCTCGCTTTCCCTTGCCCATATGGAACCATCATGACACATTCGGCCCCAGGACTAACAACATTGAGGGGTTTCACAGTAGATTGAATGCTACACTCAGTCATCGCCATCCAAACATCTTCAGGTTTATGGAAATCATCAGGAAAATAGAGAAGGCAGAGAAGGCCAAGCTGTGCCAACTCGACCTGGGAGGCGCCCCTCGATCGAGGAAACGCGTGTACAGGGAAATAGACAATCGACTACATAGACTCAAAGATCAACTTGCAGATGGAACGAAAAATCACATGCAGTATCTTGATGCAGTCGGCAAACTGCTGAAAATATGAAAAGTGTCAAAATTTCCAAATATGGACCCATGTAAAAAAAGTTATTTATAATGACACACAAACATCATAATAACGCAAATCATCAAAATGTGTGAATAAAAATGATAATGAAGTATTTAATGAACTATTTCTTCTGTGTAAATATAATGATAATCTTTTTCAGTATTTCAGTATTTAACTTGTTCTTGATTGAAATCAATAAATGCTCTTCAATGAACAATGTTTTCTGTGTCTCATTAATCAACTATGCCTCCTGCCGGTACTCTTCAGCAACAGGGCTGTTCCCACTTTCATCGTAGGGATTTGGAAGCACCACTTGTGTGCACTGAACCATTAATTAATGTGTCTCGCAACTGGGAGTTCTCGCAAATGGGAGGACACCTAAAGGACTGTTGACGGGACTTTTAAATTTGTTCGCTATATCCGTTTGTACGCTATATCCGTGTTCGCTATAACCATGTTCTACTGTATATTAAAACACGGAATGAAGTTACTAAATTGCAATCTCAACTTTAATGAAGTCCTCTTTGTGAGGTCTACCAAATCGAAGTCACAACATGCATGAATAAGAATAATTACTTACTGCACCCATGTTTCCGATCCTTTTGATCTCGCATTTATTGAAGCGTTATTTATATAGACGTACAGTTGTGTTTTGATTGGATAATAACACTTCATGCCCTGTCCGTATCCACTGACTGGTTCGATACGACAAATGAATTAGTCATTGCTCTGGCAAGCTTCAAAGATTGCAAAACTCCTGTTGTCGACAAACATGGGGAGTCTGGTAGGTAGAAACACCTTTTAATCAATATGTTTTCATCTTTTGCTACAGTATCCTCACATGCTTAACATGCCTCCGTATTAATAACATACTTGTCGTCTTCGTTTTAGTGAAACGGTTACTGTTACTGCTTCCGTCATAACATTCAGTTACCTGACCATTACCACTCCCTCTCCACCGTTATTTGTATTTTCACAGATAAGATACATATCCAGTTGGCTCCCGTGGGATGAAAAAACCAAGGCAAGTACGTCTAAACGTTTACAGTATACCATACCAAAGAAAGGCAAACCGGGTGATAAATTTGAATTTGGTCATTGAGAATGTTGAAGCAAACTCACCCTGAAGTTCGTGTTGATTTGGGTCGGCAATCCTTGATCTAACTTTCAGAAGTCAACGTTGAAGAACAATGTCAGTTTGTCCTACACTGCAGGCTTATTTTGCTTGAACGCCCAACGCTGGTACACGGACATATACTGTGTTTACACAAGATATACAATACAATACAATAGAAAGTTTGTCGTGATCTAGAGTCGACTACAACAGGCATTTCCAAATCTGTATATGTGAGATAGATTGACGTCACATTAGCAATATCTCCGCCACACAGTACAGACAGACAGATATATTACAGTACAAGGCCTCGTCCCCAAATACAGTATTGAAATGGACTGATAATGCATATTGAATGCAGTAATTTTAGCTTTAAAGTTCAAGAGTTTACAGGACGTGCGTTGAACACCTTGTACGGGAACATAGCTGTAGCTTGGATTATCTTTTTATCAGTGCATTGCATGAGCTGAGCGAATTTATGCAAAGTTGGATGTTCAAAGAACTGTACAGTTCCTTATATATTTTTTCAATCACTAGGCATATCAACGTCCTATTCGTTTATATCACACTGGCTATAGTAATGACGTTTTCAAATATTTAACCTGTTGCTGTAGAAAAACATTGGAGATTGTAAGGTGTAATTTGAAGACAATGTCCAGGGTTGCTCATCAGATCATACCTAGGATATTACACCCTATTTGTGAGTGAATGAATTTAGTTTTACGCCGTACTCAGCAATATTCCAGCTATATGGCGGCGGTCTGGAAATAATCGAGTCTGGACCAGACAATCCAGTGATTAACAGCATGAGCATCGATCTGTGCAACTGGGAACCGATGACATGTGTCAACCAAGTCAGCGAGCCTGACCACCCGATCCCCTTAGTCGCTTCTTACGACAAGCATCGGTTACTGAAGATCAATATTCTAACCCAGACCTTCACGGGTCTACACCCTTTTACATGTTAATATATATCATATAAGTTATTCCCAATATGTCAGGGAATTAAAGTATTTAAAACTTTCAGTCGGTATGGTTTATGTTGATTCTTCCGGTAAATGTATGTTGACCACACAAAAGTGTGAATGTTGTACCTTCATGACCTCAGTCCCCCAATCTTTACTCCAGTTCTGGACAACCCACATTTCACATCTTGTGGTCTACTAATGGACATTGGCTTGGGTGCCTGATGTAAATAACTTTCCAGCGCAGTGGAAAGAACACAATTTGAAAATATGCAATGGTGACTTACATTTTATGAATGATTTGCTGGCGGGCTGGGAGTATATGTTCTCATGTGACAGTGTTTGTAAATGCCTGAATCTGAACTTCTGGAAACATTTGTATGTTCATGTTACCATTGAAATGTTGTTGTTTGTAATTTGAAAGACACTCGTGTTTCGTTTTTTCATACAGATAAGCGAAACAAAGGGATTTACTTCAGATTCTGCTAAGGTTTATGTAAGTATTCTTGGCAAATGTAAAAAGCCCATGTGCAGTGAGTGGTTGCTCGTTTTTCACGAGGAATGTTAACTGTAAATATATTACGCCTGGAATAATATGGTGTAGAGTAAATGTTCTTAAATCAAATTTGGCTGTATTAAGGTTTATTGTCCCAATAAACTCAATGACACTGTCTTACAGACTTGCGGGAATAACTTAAGACACATGTATGGATATACACTTCTTAGTTATACTGTGGAATTGTCATCTGCCAACTTCATCATCATAGTCACCCCTGTATACCAAGACGGGTATATCTTGAGGATGACAATATTTTGAATATAGGTATAGAAGACTGGGACGTGATTGATGTGTAATCATTCCATTTCAGGTCATGGTGGAACAAATCAACAAACGTTCTCTTGGAAAGCTGATAGTAAAGGTTGTTGGACATGAAGGATGTAAAAATGCAAAAGTTGAACAAGTATTAAGACGACAAATCCAAACCTGCATCACTCACATTGACAATTATTCCCAAGATACTTGGGCAGATGCACGGGTGACGTTCCTCGGTATGGACGGATCTGCCTACGTCATTCAGTCAGGTGATGGGAAGAAGAGGTTCATTGTTCGTCTTGATGCACGGGATAAAATTAAATTCGTGGACTTTCAAAAATTAAGTAAATCTTAACCATCTCCCTGTATGTTGAGGGATGTATTCATGCAATCTTCTACTATCTACTGTCACACTGGTTTGATTGTGACCTGACAAGTAACAATATATGGCAATGTACGTGGTCTATCAACTTGACTCAAAAGCGTTTTGTGAGTTACTTCAAGCTATCCCGGACTAAGTTTTGGGTTGTCTCCCAATTGACAGACACCCATTTGACAGACACCCGATTGACAGACACTTAACTAGAAGGTTAATTAGGGTAACACCTACGGGTATAATGGAACAGTCCACTGTGTAGTGAGTAGAGCAGGGTGAGCCTGAAACAGGTTCGTTACTGAGAAGTTTGATTGTGGGTAAATAGAACTTTGTTGTGATTAAATGATTTCTCTTCTCAAAATTGATTTTACTATCAATTACTATCGAATATAAAACAGCTTTGTCACTGAGAGGTTTGATTGTGTTTATTGATAGAAAAGACCCCAATAATAGCATATGTACAACAGAAGTTAACTGAGAAAACGTTTTGTTGGAGAGATATAGATATGTACATATTTGAAAACATTCTGATTTGCAGTAAATGATACACCTGCATTGCCATGTAAGACGCGATTAATACAAATCAGTGTTCTAATTTTAACAATACTTTCTAAAGATTGTGACAGTTTGTGTCTTTGAGTAGTGTACAATGGACATTCAAGGAAGTAATGAAAACATTCTCACACCCATGGCCACATTCACATGATGCGTCATAATTTAAATATTTATTCTAAATAAATCGTAATTAAGTGCACTCGTCATATAACTTAATATTGTGTGCAAAACATATAACATCTTTATTCCATATGAATAATATTTAGGTCACATTTGTCTTTTTTTGATTTATATGATACAACAGTGTCGCAATTTCTAATAGCTAAGATAATACTTTCAGTATGATGATGCCGACTTCCGTTAGACTAAAAGGTTAAACCGAAATGTTTATGAAAATATATTGTTTATATATTGCAGCAATAAAAATTCAAATTGCTGTCTTTTCGTCCATCTTTCAAAATAAATAATATAGCTTCAGTTTGTTCCCGTGGTGTACTCATGTATGGCATGTTGTTGTTTCTAGAGGCCTCTTTCAAAGTTTAGAGTACTTTAGAGTAATGTATCACTAAGCACATGAAATTCATCAGCATATAATTTACGACCATGTCACATACTACAGCGTGTGTCTGAAACACTGAACGACATGAAAGTAAGTGTCATGTAGTTGTGTGTGTGCCTGTGTGACTGCAGGACATATCCTGACCATGGAACCTGGTCTCCCAATCCATCCATCCATCCATCAAATGGAGATTAAAACTGGCATGACATTGATTCATTTTCACGTCTCCGCTAACACCCTTGTGGCGAGCCAACAATGTAATCACAGGTTGTCACTACACGTATTCTTTACATTCACCCCAAACAAACACAAACAAACACAAACACACACAAACACACACTCACACACTCACTCACACTCACTCTCACTCACACTCACTCACACTCACTCACTCACTCACTCACTCACTCACTTACACTCACTCACACTCACTCACACTCACTCACTCACTCTCACGCACACTCACTCACACTCACTCACTCACTCACACTCACACTCACACTCACTCACTCACACTCACTCACTCACTCACTCACTCACTCACTCACTCACTCACTCACACTCACTCACTCACTCACACTCACTCACTCACAATCACACTCAGACTCACTCACTCACACTCACTCACTCACTCTCAATCTCAATCTCACTCACACTCACACACACTCACCCTCAAATACCTCATGCCTCTACTCAGGCTATTTATGTGCTGAACGAAAATGAGTTTGTTGTGAGAGAATTCAATATTTAGTGAGCTGTTGGCAAAATGTGTATGCATGCGTCAGTTGCAATCGGCTATTGTGTACACCAAATCAGTAGCTTACCTGCCATTAGGCACTGTAGGCACGTGTCTACACCTAATTATTTCGGCATTTTTTTACATGTGGTATGTTATGGATATGTTATTTTTCGAGAGCAGTCTCCGTTTCTATGAAAGGTGGATAACTCTTATGCTACTTCGATGCCAACATGGTGTCTAGCACGCCAAAAACAACTGACAAGTATTTCAAGATTTCATCCGTGAAAGACGATACTGATGAGCTTGCTCCCCAGCCAGAGGAGAAGAAAGTATCCGTTCCAGAGTCCCATGCACCACCATATTTAGATCCGGTCAATTATGAAAATGGTTTGGCTGATCAGGAAAGAAACATTTCCTTTCATCGAAATGACAAGATTGTCACTTGTTCAAATTATGTTAGATAAAGTAATGAGGAGCTAGCATTCTAGCGTTCAGTATGTATTCACGACATTACATGCAACAGTTGGCTTCAGCCGTTATAACTAGCACTGGTCCATAGATCTACAGACTCGTACGTCAGATCAACGTGTGCTTCTTACTGCCCCCAGCAAGCAATTGCAATCCAAGAGCATTAGTGGGTGAGTGAGTGAGTGAGATACGATTTTAAGCCACATCGGTAGTATTTCAGCTATATCCTGACTAAAACATGCTATACATTCATTTCACATAAAGTTAAATTATATAATCTATCACAAATATACAGTAATAACTTCTAGAATAGCACAGATGTACATATAGATGTATAGTTTCACGCCTCTAACAACGGTAAACTTTACAGTAAGTTATCACCATGCACATGCAATTCATCAGCATATGTCACATACTACAGCGTGTGTCTGAAACACTAAATGACATCGAGGTGAGTGTCATGTAGTGCTGTGTGTGCCTGTGTGACTGTAGACCATGGAACCGTGTCTCCCAATCCATCCATCCATCCTGGGAGATTGTATGTCTTGTTCTCAAAACATTGTTTGGAATTTCTCACTGTTTACATCTTTACGACAATGGACAAAACCTCTCGCAAACTAGTTAATGGAAGTTAATGATTGTTCCATATTTTAACTAAAAATGTGATTCATGAAGATTACTTCTGGCGTCACAGTGGGAAAATATTGCAAAATATACATAATTTCGGAAAGCGCACGTACAATTTCCAAAGCAAGCTCTCCGAGAAAACACTGAATGGAAAACATGGGAGGCGTTTAGTTCGTGGCTCTATTTTTATTAAAATCTTCAAATTACACATCATAATTCTGATCGCTATATGCTTCGTTAAGTCAAAATTACCATGTGTATTTTTCAGGATATTTCCAACAATCACATACTGCCTTAAACCAATTTAAGTACTAAGGATTACATGTAACAAAGCACTGCAATCCTTCAAAACATCCATCGACAGAGGATAGTCTTCTTGCAGGCGGGTACCCTCTTTCTTGCAGGCGGGTATCCTCTTTCTTGTAGGCGGGTACCCTCTTTCTTGTAGGCGGGTACCCTCTTTCTTGCAGGGGCATGGTCCCTAGCATGGTGATCTACCTTCACTTGTTGGCGATCTGTAGCCTGTTTTTATATTGTATCGCCCTCTATAGTTAAAGAATTTTAGATTTCATTACTAGTTTTAAATATATATATGTATCTGTAGTCTAGTTGGTTTTACTGTCCTTTGTTGACTGATATTTTAAAATGATTACCTTGCTTTCATCGCTATATGGCTGTAATATTGCCGATGCGATGTAAAATATTAACTCACTCACTCTTGCAGGCGGGTTCCATCTTCCTTGCAGGCGGGGTACCCTCTTTCTTGTAGGCGGGTACCCTCTTTCTTGTAGGCGGGTACCATCATTTTTAATGCTAACACCTGGTATTATGACTAACAGAAGCTTCTGATATGGCCAAAATTGTACTTTGAAATATGTTTTTATCAGAGATTTATTAGGTTTATAGAAAATGTGTAATCTCAGCAATGGTGGGTTTCTGTACACCAAAAGCAAATGGCATAAATCATACCTGTAGTTGATACACGAATGGTTGTGGCCAAATGTGCACACATGCAAGATGCAAGAGAAGTCGTGGAAGTTGTAGCTTGTGATCAAGCTATCAAATCACAGCATCAAATACAGCACAGATTCATGAGTATTACTGAAGCATCCACTCGGACTTTGAGCGCTTTTATAACTCTCAGTACCCCGTGCTATGGTTAGTATGATATGGCAGTTTGATGGGGTAATTTTATTGAAACCAAAATGGCCAAAGAGCGATAAACAATTCTGATTTTAGGGCCGCTTCAGATCGCATAGGAATTATGTGCATGCTATGTGAAGCTGCCCTGTTGTGAATTTCAATATCTACAAAATGTAGTTATTACTCATTTTTTAAAACTCACATTTATACTGAACATTATTTATCATGTGTTAGTGTTAAGAAATTTAGAATATCTTTAGCTCGTTTACGTTGTTTATTGGAAATATAGAAGGATGGAGAACAGAGCCCGGCTGCATTCCTGAACATGTGTTCACAGAGTTATGGCCCCACCACGTCAGTGGAATGCTTGATGTGTGAACTTGTGTGATAATGTCACATTTATGTGTGGAGTGATGATGTCTGTAGTGAACTTTAAAGATGTGTGAATTATGAACATTTGAACTACTAATGAATATTCGATCACATATCAACAACTGAATGTATGATTATCACACTATATATTATTACTACATATTGATACAAATATAATAAAACATATTAAAGATATATTAGTTTGTATGTTCTTATTTGAATTTGACCTATGGCCCTTTTGACTTAACTCTATGGCCCTTTTGACTTTCCTTAGGCCCTTCGACTTTTCTTTGGCCCTTTTGACTTTTACAATGTTGACCCTTCTGTCCCTTGGCCCTTTTGACTACAACCCAACGAACATGTCGATTCATCAACCAACACTTCTTTGAGTGGCATTTTATAAGTTGGGAAGTATCAATGATGGCATTTATTCATGGATCAACCAACCATGTCAACACCGGTCATGTAACAGCCATTGATTGCAGAGTTTTGAAGATGACAAAGTCATACGTCATCTGTTTAGATCATTATTTAACCAAAACAATACGGAACACCAAATCAGCCGAAACCAACGGCAATGCATTGTCATCTCCAACACTTGTTCTTCCGAGCTTCAAAACATACGTCACAACGTGAGACAAAAGCCCATCTTGCCTTCATATTAATTCGCGACTTCAGCATCAATTTAATCCACCATAACAACCTTAATAATTAGAACTCAATCCGTAGACATTATCCAATTGTGATCTAAATCTGGCAATACCCTTGATGTATCGGTATTGAGATG